GGAGGAGTTGAGGTGTGGAGCAGCTGATCTCTGCAGGCCTCAGAATTCACAAACACAAAGCCAGCTGGTCTGAAACAGTCACAATACTCCACTGATTGTATTTGCCTGAGCAGCAGGAAAAACACAAGCTCTCTCCCCTTTTGGGAACTGTAACAATAGAGGATGTCAAAGTATGTCCCTCATGCGCTGCAATGATGAGCTGGCCAACTGGCCTTCGATAAGTCAAGGAGAGGAAACTGACAAACGTATGATTTCTTCCTGTCCACAGATCACGCTGAGGTGAACAAGATAAAGGAAGACCTCAGACAATAAGTCATCGAGCCTCTTGTCTCGTATAAAACAAATCTCTGTTTGTAAATAAAAAGGAAACAAAATCAAAACCCTTTTCATTCTGACAGATTAAAAAAATGATTGCAAAAATTTCACAACCCGAAAGATCCAAAAATTGTCTTTTAATATATTACCTTCACTGTGACAAACCCTCAGGAGGGAGATTTCTTATATTATCACGCCCATAAAAAACCTACGGCAATAAATCTGTTTAAATGGGATTTAAAAGCAATGAACAGCTTATTTTTCCTCTGAGTAGGAAAAGACATTTAACAAGTGTATTAACAAGAAAAAGTTAACACCTAATGTTGTATTTTATACAAAGTGACTCTATTCACATACAAATGATTTGCTTGTTACAGTCATTACTGGTGCCAGACCATACCGGAACATCTGTATTGATTTAGACTCCAGTAGAACAGAAAGGAGGGGGGAGAGACTCGCAATCTGGAATTCAACTTAAGAGAGCGAGACAACAATCTGTTGTACGGTTATTTTGGTAATTGTCCATAATTGATGTAAAAACATGGTGCGTGTGGCGGAAGATTCTAAATGACTGTTTTTTTGCAGCAGAGAGGGTCAATGATAATGGGCAGTTGCACTGAAAATGCAAACGCAGCATCTAATAATGTTATTCTAAAAGCAAGTGGACAGCTGGTGAGAGAAGACAAGACATCCAGCCACACAGCGTACATATAATTGCTGGAATAAATTGTTCCTGGCTGCTAAAACTTGAGCTGCGTTAAGTAAAAAAGAATAAAATGTTCATTGTTACTGTACCTGGTGTGGAGACTCTGCATGTAAAGATGCATTAAGGGATCTTGGGACAATAAGGTACAGGTTCTGCTTTCACACTTTCATTGCTGCTTGTCATTCAAATCTCACTCGTGGCTTAAACCCTAATGCAGATCATGTGCCACTTTATAAATGAGCAACAAGGACATTTTCTTTTTTAACAAAAAAAAAGAATCAACTCAACATCAATTGCACATCAACATTTTACTCCAACTGCAGTATATAGCCTACAAGCTTTAAAATAAATAATCACATGTCATTTTGTTTCAACAGCTGACTGATCTGAACTTTCAACACATCAGCTTGTTATGAATCACACAATTTACTTTTGTGGTTATGTTTCTCAAAAGCCCCGTCGTGTCTAAAGATAGCGCAGGCAGTAGCTGCATGGCGGCAGCAGAAAGGTTATGTGCAGTTGTGTGTGAATAAACACACATGTACAGCGCAGCAGTTTGAGCAAATTATACAGAATACCCACCCCCACCAAAAAAAATTAAAATAAGGTTTTGTAAATCATATTCTAATTTAATGAGTTTTAAACTGATTTTCTATAGAGGCCAACTTGTTAAAGTTATAAACACGTGTTAAAACTCCCTCATCATGGTCACTTAATGGTCTTGGGGTTACAATGAATACCTTTTATGTTGAAGCATGTCGCGGCAAAACGGACAGAAAACACGTTGGAAGAATGTCAAATAGACAAACAGTCTTGCGAGTATGGTCGTAAAATTATTTATTAGTGTGGGCAACATTAAACAGAAAACAATCAGAGAAGTCTGTCAGATGTGGCCGCCCGGGTAAGGGCGGAAGAGAAAAGTTATACCGTCAGYTATCATCATGTGATAAAAAACAACCAATCACAGCCTGCCTCATGTCCCTAACAGCCAATGACAAGCTCTGAATCCCATGGTGACCATATCGATACGTGGAAGTAGGCCATCTTRCKTCCRTGTCCTCTGACGTCCGGAGTCACTGATTAAAGAAACAGTCATAAGATATGACAAGGTACGAACAGGGAACAGTGTCAAGGCGATAGATATAAGTATTCCATAACAAAGCAAATAATAAATGATTTATTCTAGTTGTTGGTCACTTCGACAATTCGTAAGCTACCAACTATCAACAATGGATTGTTATTCGAGTAGTCATCTGTTGTTTTAAATCTTTGGTGACTAAGGTATTAGTATCAATTTACTGGCTCAAATTTCACATTTGTAATGTTAAAATAGGTCTAAAAAGGTTTATTAATGTGGGAATCTTCAGATTAACATGCTGCAGTGATGACTTTCTTACTTCATACAAAAACATTTTTTTTCTCTACACATAAATTCTCAACAAATAAAAAGATACTTGTGACATTGAACTTAAACTAAAGTTAAATAAAAGCACAAGCATCATTCTGTATTATGGTGTTCTATACCTTAGTCTTTACAGTGTTTTTTTTTTGTATATTTGTGAGTCCAAATATAATTAAGGCATTACATCATACCCACTTGCTAAACTGTCCAGTCAGATTGAAAATGGAGAGGAAATGTTTTTTGTTCAGGGGTATGACTGTAACTTCCTACATAAGGTAAAGCCTAAAATATAAAATGACATGTTTTGTGTCAAAAGCACTAATTTGAAAATCGGCCTCCCTGAAGTTTGTCCTGTTGGTTCCAGGGAGCCGACTAAACCCTCCTGTTCCTAGAAGACAGTGTTGAGAGATTTTTCCACTCAGCCTCTCTCAGGACCTTACACCGTTGTGGTGGAACGCTGTGAGTGCGCGAGACAGAACAGTACCTGGCAACAACTACACGGCTCGCAAACACCTCTCTCCGCGGGGTTCTGGCACGTCTGACATAAAGCGAGGGGATCCTCGGCACATGTTTCGTTAAATGAAGAGCCATGTGTTCGGCTGAACCCGGCGCAGAAGTGAGTGATACATCAACACAAAGGGGCACTTCAGCATTGTTTTAATACTGCTTCACTAATGAGACCCTAACAGCAGAATCAGCTTCTATCTGCCGAGGCTCGCTGCTCGGTCCAGCCTGACCTCACCTCGCTCTCGGCTAAATTATGGAAATCTTTATCTTCATAACTCTGGATATGGATAAAGAATACGCAGCAATTATGGAAACCTCTGCAAACCAGGGCAAGGCTGTACGACCCTGCACTGATGAATATATATGAAAAGAAAATGGCTTCTGCTGCTCACGCTGTTTGACTAATAAACATCTAAACATGGATCTGTTTGACTTTTGCGAGTATGACCCCACAACTCATAAACGCAAAGAAAATAATGCTAAACATACCTTATCTTCTAAAGGAAGAAACTAATCTTTTTTAATTATAGCTCTTTTATACTGAAATACATGCATGCATTCATTCACAAACTGACCCACACTGCTGTTTAAAACCACGCTATGAAACAAAACCCAATACATTCAGATTGACACTTCAAACAAAAACTAAGGTTGTGCGGAGTCACCTATCCACCCTGGTCAATTAAACACCTCCCACTACAGTTGGCATCACTCAAAAGGCTCATTACCCTTCTGACCAACCACCATCTACAATCAGAAAAACATCCCGTCACATTGGCCAATCCCACATGGGCAACGCAGGTCAACACCCACACAAGTGACAGGAAATTGAATTGCTAGAGAGAATGTGGTCTGTCTGAACGCTCGGAAAATATTTGTTTATTCACAACTGGTCATGCAGACAGATTGTCTTTACAGACTTCAAAAGAAGACGTGAAGGTTATGTCTTGTGCATTTTCATGAAGGTGAAAATAACGTTTTTTTATTTCAGTAGTGTTTGTCCGTGATTCGATGTAAAAATTAAAAGATACTTGATAGAATATAGAACTATGGTTGTACAAATGTGAGATAATTCACAAAATGTTGAATTTACACCTTCTGTGAGTTATAAAACTAAAATCTATCCATCTAGCACTTTTGGATCTTTGAATCAATACAGTTTTCAGAGGGTAAACCACGACTAAAAAAAAAAAATCAAAGGGAAGCGGTACAACATCTCTGAAGTAGCTTTGTGAGCTTGTGCTTTCCGAACCACTAGTTCTAATCTACTGGGTTGATCTCCCAGTCCTCGAGGGATTATAAAATGTCTGCAAACCTCAAAATATTTGAGGCAATCAACAACTCAACATGCATTTGGCGTTCAGAATGCAAGAATGTGAAAACACACAAGCGAATGGATAAAAAAGGAGTGAAATATGAAGAGAAATAAGGGGATCGGAGCTGTGCCCATTTCGGGGGTGTAAAATATGGAGAAGTGTGGATCATTGGGGGAGCTGCTCTGCCTGGGGGAACAGATGAAGGGAGGACACTCTGCCAAGATCTCTCCACTGAAGGGGGAGCTGAGGGACTGGAGCACTATGGGAGGAAAAGTGTGCGCCTCGCATGCTGCTCTCCTCAATCTCAGTCTCACACGCTTGCATTGACACGTCCCAGGCTCTCTGCAGCAGAGGGAAATTGCTGCTGACAGGGCCTTGCAAACTTTCACAGCCATTTAGAAAGACTTACTCCCACACTTTTGTCACAGGCATTTATTGCACAAGATACATGATATGAGAAATTAACATTTTCAAAACTTGGCATCGTTTTTTTGTAACCAAGTTCGGCTTAAAAACCATTCATAATTTTTCAGCTTTACGATCGGCCTTAGTGCAGATGTAAACACGGGACATGCCAAGTGAGACCTCGAGATTATGAAAATGCATTAAAAAAAACAGCAACCAAACACTACTTCGTAAATTTCTACCATACTGTAAGACTTTCTAATCCAATAAAAAGCACAGCCCGTATCGCCATCATCAAAACATGAGGTTTATCTCAAGTTGAGGGCAGAATTTGGGATGTTTACTGTACCTTTATGTCCACAACCAACCAGTGCCTCCAGTAACCTGAGCTTGTTGTACGACTGGGAGCATCCGGATCAACCATCACCAGGATATATTTCTTTCCCTGCAACAAAAACAAGTTTATTTATCATCACATTTAATAGAAACTCAAAAAATTACCAGACACGTTTTGATTGGCCCAAAGATTTAGCACAATCTGACCGCTTTACTGTTTGTACATCTCATTTTAATTACTTTACTATTTTAGACTGAAGCTTTTTAATGTTCTGATTCTATTTTAGAGTATTTATAACAATTGGAAATGAAGGAGTTGTCAACCTAAAATGATTAGCTCCAAAAGTGAGTGAGTTTTTTTTTCCTGTTATCTTAACAAGAGCGTAACGTAATCTAACTTCAGCTGTCAAAACTTAAATATGAAAAGAAGAGGAAGAATTAAACTCACAGGATAATGCACACTGAAGCTGGGATTATCACAAACTCATTCTTTCCTCAAACAAGTCCCTGTCCCTTCTGGTGTTCCTTAAACTTAATATCCTTAATGTGACATAAACAAAATGACAACGTTTTGGATGTGAGACCAAATCATCTCATTAACATATTCACAGTAACTTTCTGCCACTTACCAAGTATCTTTATACCCCTCAATCTGTCAATGGAGAGAAAAAGCATCTTAACTAACACTTGATCACAGTTATTGGACGAAGATTTGGCGGCTTAATTGCCGGAAAAAAAAATCTTCACTCTGTCTGTCCCTAAAAGTTAGAGAATTATGAGAGCAGATTGAATTATTGCAAGAGCACATTTGTCATCCCTGGTCTGGTGCCCAAAATCTGCCAGACCATATGATGGGCTTTTTTATTTTGTTCACTTCCTCTACAAACATAGACACAATGTCCTTCTACAGTATATGCACTTTCAGTTGAAGCAAGACCATAATGATATCAGCCTTAAAACATAGGAAAAAAAAAAACAGATGCAGCGTCTCTTATGTTCTAGCACCGGCTGCCAAAAAACACTGTTGACGGTGCGGTAAAACGTTTTTCAAAGGATCAAATGCTTCAGTGTAAACATAAACCTTAAATTTCTGTTTGTTCTGTCCTGTGAAGACATTCTTACAGGCCTTGGAAAATTATCCTAAGCCGATGTACTTGAATGAGATAAAGAAGTAGTCATGTATTTTTTCTGCAGATGCTCATTTTCAGAAGGATTCTCTGCCTACCTGACAAGCAGTAATATGCGTAAACAACTAAGCCTAATAATAGGATAATACTGTAGTCTCGGTGATAGTGCCTGCAGGTAACATCCAGACACACCAGTAACAATAGAGCCTCCTCCACAGCCTGTCAAAAGTGACTCTATATCAGTGACCCCCCCTGGGCAGCTTACCAACCATGACCTGTTGCCTTCTCCGGAGTTGTAATCCTCATTTGTACATGTTTGCTACCAGGCAAAGAAAAAGTGTGATAATGTAGTTATACTAATATCTAAGTAAGACCCTGATGCATTCAGAAATAATATGGTTTCAAACAACAACAACACACACACACACACACAAACACACACACAAACGCACCCAGCCTGAAAGGCAATTTAAGCTTTTAATTTAAAAATGACCTCCAGTCACAAGTACTATTAAAGGAAATTGCACTTCTTTGAATATTTCACGAAAGTTACCATGGATGAAGATGCTCGGCGCGGGACAGGTTTATAATCTCCAAAGCTAAATTTAGCACAACATTAAGAACATTTCACATTTAATATCCATCTGTGACGAGAACAACCGAGGCCTATTCATGGTGGGCACTGAATTTTCACTGATTTCTGCAAGTATTTAAAGCTTGAATTTTCTACCTGTAACATTTTTTTTTCTCACTAGTCCAGCTGGCATGGACAGCAAATAATACAAGAAGCTCCCATCAAGCCTGCACTTCACACATTGTGGCATGTACCCTTCCTTCTCTCGTACGAGGACATTTTTTTCCCTCCATCTGTCACAATTCACATTAATTACACACAGATATGTGTGAAAGACTCAAGGGAAAAACAGATGCATACTCTGCCATCTGAAATAATTTATCAGGGCTTTAACAAACTAAATGTATATCAAGACACGTTTTATCAGTGCTAATTCTCATAGCTCAGTCTTGGAAGGCAAACATTTTCTAATAAATTTTGGAACTCCTTTCTGGTGTTAATCATCAGTCCTATTGAAAAGACCTAAGATTTAAGCTTAGATAATTACTCAAAATAGATGCTTACACTGGAAGTAGCAAAATATACAGATTTTATACAATGTCACCGTGTTCATGTGTTGTGTAAATCTTTGCTAAAAGGTTAAAAGTGAGCAATATAGTGTGCTTTCATGGGTTAAATGTCAGAATAAGTAAAGCAGAAGTTAAATGTGGGCAGATCGCTGCCACAGAAGTTGTGCAGCAGGGGATGTGAGAGTCCTGGGTAAAAGCTGGAGGCGGGGGGAGATTGAGCCTGCATCCTCTTGAGATTAACCTCCTACTTCCTGCTGTGATCACAGCAAAACGGCCCACTAAGACCACACCTCAGATGCAGGCGGCTGGACTAAACCCTGCACTTGACTGGGAGTCTCTGGCACGACGACTAGTCTGAGGTAAACAGGAGAATGAGAATTCGGTTTTCAAGGACGCCACAAGATCTTCACGCTTATTCTTAATGATATGAAACTGCAGAAATATATTAATATATACTGTATGTGTGGATTTTCAATACATTTACCACTTGATGTCTAAAAGTACGCTTTAAGTAGCTAAATTAGTGCAGCATTTGCTCAAAAGAAGGCAGTGAAGATCAAAAGAAAGGGTGAAGTCAGAGTCTCTGAGGGTGGAAAACCACTGTATTACCTTTGAGTGAACTCTGCTGGGGATGAGAATCAGAGAGATGGCTAATCGCCGCTCTCCAAGAACTGCCTGAGCTATCGAGCCCAGCTCTGCTAACTGATGACACCGCGAGGGGCAAGAGTGAGTTAGTGAGAAGGAGGGAGGAAGGAGAGGCCCCTCTGTGAGTTTACAAGTTCATGCTTTATCCGTGACCCACTACCAAATTGTGCCATCCGTGCAGCAGCCTAATAATCTACCAGCTGCTTTATCCAGCGAGTTCTTCATCCCCTCACACACAAAGCGCACCATGTTTAATTTAATGGTCAACTACGTTTGCTGCTCATCCCAGAGCAAAGCAATGCATTGATCCCAAATCCCTGTTTAAGCAGCAAAAATACTCGAACTCGTTTGGTAATTAACAGGTATCTGTGTTGTGATTAAGAGACGGTCACGGCTTAACAACCATCGACTGCAGCTTACAGCAAGGTGAAAGATCAGTCTGCAAATACCGAAATATAGGAACTGTAAAACACGGCGGCAGGAGGCGAAGTCTATAAGCAAAAACACTTTGAAAACTCACAGATAATGTGACATGATATTAATTTACAGAGGACACTTGGCATCAACTTTTACACTTAATGACAAGTTGTTTGGTTTAGAAACTGGACAGCAGTGAGAGTGAAACAAGTGCGGTCATGGAGCAAGTTTAAAGGCAGTAACAGCGCCAGGGTCAGAAGATGAGGTTCATTCTCGTGGAGAGAGGGTCAGAGGTCAGCCAGGCAGCAGTAATTGAATCCTGAGAAGAGTAGTGGGACCATAGACCCAAAAGATGAGATGGAGAATGCAGGGGGGCCGCACCGCTCACCTAGAGGTCAACAACCGTACAGGTGTAAAAGGTCCTCATTGTCATTAATAACAGCCCATCCCCCGCAGCTCATCTGAGACTTTGAAACTTCATTTCTCCTCAGTGCAAGCCATATAATAATACCTCCATTATCAGCATCATGACAGACAGAGTGGATATCTGAAGCTGGTAACTAATACTATTAAACCAAAGGTTTATTACCTGGATACTGAGATTTAAAAGTACTCTGATCACTACAAACTCAGATAGAGTTTTTAGTAGTTTTCAGTATTTTATACACCAGTGAGCCACCATGAAGTCAAAAAGAATTACTACTGGCAGACCATTACACTTCAATAGGATAATCAGTGAAAGTCAAATTTTATGAGTCTCAGCTACGGCTGGGTGATAATTCGATAACGATATTGTGACAGATATGTGTTCAATATGAATCGAAAACACATCCGATATAATATTGATCATTTCAATGGTTATTAACTGCTTAATTTACAAAATAAATGATCAGTCAGCAGCTTGGATAGCACAGACTAGACATGAACAAAACACAAAAACTAAAAAACAAAGGGAAGATGTACAACAGGACTGTTTCTCCTATTTCAGGGGGTCTGCAACCTTTAGAGCCCTTTCTGCTCCTCAGCTCGCTAATAAAATGTGCCCAGAGCTGCAAAATAAGCTACAACTGTGATAATCAACTGGTGGTCCGTGGGCTTTTCCAAGGCCTTTTCGTGAACCTTTATGGCCAGTGGAGGTGACATAAACCTAAAAAGTATATTGTGAATTTTATTATTTATTATTATTTTTACACTTCAAGACTGAAAACATAACATATTCATGCACAAGAACAATTCTGACGATAGTACTGATAAGAACCGGTTTTTGAACTCTGAATTAATGCCAAACTCAAAAACAGTTTTACAGATTTTATTATTAATGTGCAAGGCTTTGGCGTGGTTCTGGATCAGGACATCAAACTGGACTGGAACTTCTGGACACAAAAAAGAACTATTAATAACAGTATCAATGTGAACTTTGACTGAGGGAAGACGCAAAGCCACTGACCTGGTGTTCGTTTGGGTGTTCCATACACAAACACTGATTTGGATAGAAAGGGTCCGAGACAGTGTGATGTCGTCACTGTTCTGTATTGCTTTGTGTTTGAGTCCTATGGGAAAGAACTAGGTCAAGGGGTAAGCGAGGCTCAAAACCAAAAGAATTACCAGACTACGTGGAACAGGCTTGAGTCGTGGATCCGTAAACTGAGCAGGGGTCGAGAGCCGTGTAATCCGATGAAGCGTCATGCCGAGGAGGGTAAATCCAAGAGCCAAAAAACCAGGAAGTGAAGCAGGGGTCGTTACCAGGCAAGCAGATGACAGGAAGGGTCCGACGAGGGCAAAGGCAGAGATCATGAAACCGAGGAGCATGAGCAGGATCAGGGAACCAGAACTAACGAGGAACAAGGTACAAGAATGTGGGAAGTTCATGGCAGAGCACATGAAAATCTAGCAGAGACTGAAGCCGGGTACACACCAAATGCATTTGGAGCAGCCAAAGCAGCCAGTTTACATGTAAAGTCTATGGTGGCCGCGCATCTAAGAGCAGTGCAGCGTGTTGCGGCGCGTTTTGGCAGTTCAGAGCAGGGCACAAGGTAGCGGTAGGATGCGGCAGAGCAGTTTCCGCACATGGAGGCAAGGTCCAAAGCAGCGGCTGCTAAAGTTCAACAAATTGAGCTTTGGCTGCTGGACACGCAGCAGCAACCAATCGGGGGAGAATATTTTTTTTCACGTGACGGTTTCATGAACCCGACACAGACGGACAGGAGCCTGTAGCTGAAATAGGCCATCTGCAGTTGGTGTTCTGGCTAGAGATAATCAGCACCAATGTGATGAGACAGCAGATCGCTGAGCTGG